CAGTATCAAAGGCAGCAGACAGGTCTAGAAGGACAAGAGCAGAGGAGAGAGAGTTAGCTTTAGCAGTGCAGAGAGCCTCCGTGACACAGAGAAGAGCAGTCTCAGTTGAATGACCAGTCTTGAAACCTGACTGGTTTGGATCAAGAAGGTCATTCTGAGAGAGATAGCAAGAGAGTTGGCTAAAGACGGCACGCTCAAGAGTTTTGGAGAGAAAAGAAAGAAGGGATACTGGTCTGTAGTTGTTGACATCGGAGGGATCGAGTGTAGGTTTTTTGAGAAGGGGTGCAACTCTCGCTCTCTTGAAGACGGAAGGGACATAGCCAGCGGTCAAGGATGAGTTGATGAGCGAGGTGAGGTAAGGGAGAAGGTCTCCGGAAATGGTCTGGAGAAGAGAGGAGGGGATAGGGTCAAGCGGGCAGGTTGTTGGGCAGCCGGCCGTCACAAGTCGCAAGATTTCATCTGGAGAGAGAGGGGAGAAAGAAGTCAAAGCATAGGGTAGGGCAGTGTGAGCAGGACCAGCAGTGTCATTTGACTTAACAAACGAGGATCGGATGTCGTCAACCTTCTTTTCAAAATGGTTGACAAAGTCATCTACAGAGAGGGAGGAGGGGGGGGGGGGGGGTGATTCAGCAGGGAGGAGAAGGTGGCAAAGAGCTTCCTAGGGTTAGAGGCAGATACTTGGAATTTAGAGTGGTAGAAAGTGGCTTTAGCAGCAGAAACAGAGGAAGAAAATGTAGAGAGGAGGGAGTGAAAAGATGCCAGGTCCGCAGGGAGTCTAGTTTTCCTCCATTTCCTCTCGGCAGCCCGGAGCCCTGTTCTGTGAGCTCGCAATGAGTCGTCAAGCCACGGAGCAGGAGGGGAGGACCGAGCCGGCCGGGAGGATAGGGGACATAGAGAGTCAAAAGATGCAGAAAGGGAGGAGAGGAGGGTTGAGGAGGCAGAATCAGGAGATTGGAGGGAGAAGGGTTGAGCAGAGGGAAGAGATGATAGGATGGAAGAGGAGAGAGTAGCGGGAGAGAGAGAGCGAAGGTTGCAATGGCGCATTACCATCTGAGTAGGGGCAGAGTGAGTAGGGTTGGAGGAGAGCGAGAGAGAAAAGGATACAAAGTAGTGGTCGGAGACATGGAGGGGAGTTGCAGTGAGATTAGTAGAAGAACAGCATCTAGTAAAGATGAGGTCAAGTGTATTGCCTGTCTTGTGAGTAGGGGGGGACGGTGAGAGGGTGAGGTCGAAAGAGGAGAGGAGTGGAAAGAAGGAGGCAGAGAGAAATGAGTCAAAGGTAGACGTAGGGAGTTTAAAGTCACCCAAAACTGTGAGGGGTGAGCCAGCCTCAGGAAAGGAAATTATCAAGGCGTCAAGCTCATTGATGAACTCTCCAAGGGAACGTGGAGGGCGATAAATGACAAGGATGTTAAGCTTGAAAGGGCTAGTGACTGTGACAGCATGGAATTCAAATGAGGAGATAGACAGATGGGTCAGTGGGAAAAGAGAGAATGTCCACTTGTGAGAGATGAGGATTCCTGTGCCACCACCCCGCTGACCACATGCTCTCGGGGTATGCGAGAACACATGGTCAGATGAGGAGAGAGCAGTAGGAGTAGCAGTGTTTTCAGTGGTAATCCATGTATCCGTCAGCGCCAAGAAGTCGAGGGACTGGAGGGTAGCATAGGCTGAGATGAACTCTGCCTTGTTGGCAGCAGAACGGCAGTTCCAGAGGCTGCCTGAGACCTGGAACTCCACGTGGGTCGTGCGTGCAGGGACCACCAGGTTAGAGAGGCAGCAGCCACGCGGTGTGAGGCGTTTGTATGGCCTGTGCGGAGAGGAGAGAACAGGGATAGACAGACGCATAGTTGACAGGCTACAGAAAATGGCTACAATAATGCAAAGGAGATCGGAATGAAATGAACTAAACATCTGGGAAAGCGAGAGAGCGGGGCCTCCCTCACTTACGTTACACTGAAACACCCAAATATAACTCTCCCAATTTCCACCTCAGAAACTATAAATGTTGTAAACTACAGCGGTTCAATGTTTTCTAGTAAAAGTCTAAACGTTTTTAGTTTTAAATATACTTGTGTATCAAAAGTAAAAGTACAAGTATAAATAATTTCAAATTCCTTATATTAAGCCAAAGAGACTGAAACATTTCCTTGTTTTTTAAATTCATGGCTAGCCAGGGGCACGCTCCAACACTCAGAAATAATTTACAAACGAAGCATGTGTGTTTAGTGAGTCCGCCAGATCAGAGGCAGTAGGGATGACCAGGGATGTTCTCTTGGTAAGTACGTGAATTGAAACGTTTTCCTGTCCTGCTAAGCATTCAAAATGTACTTTTGGGTGTCAGGGAAAAAGTATGGAGTAAAAAGTACATAATTTTCTTTAGGAATGTAGTGAAGTAAAAGTAAAAGTTGTCAAAAATATAAATAGTAAAGTAATGTACAGATACCCCAAAAAACGACTTAAGTAGTACTTGAAAGTTTTTTTACTTAACCCCCTAGAGTCGAAGTCCGCGCCCCGCGGAAATCTAATAAGCAGAATAAAGAAATCCCCATAAAAATCTGTCAATTTAAGCTAGAGGTATCTTTGCATTGGATGCGTTTCAATCCACCCCCTCCGCCGACGTTGCACTTCCACATCTGGGGTGAAAGGTGACAGAGCTAGACCGGTGTTTGTCAGACCATGAGACATCCTGAAAATTGGCCTTCTCATAAAATCATCTGAAGCTTCCGAACGGTTAGAAACTATTATGAGCCCTGTATGGAAAGATGAGACCCACAAGCGTCTTTGGACTCGACTGAAGTCGGTACAGCCTATTGGTTTTGCTCTAGGATGCCCACAGGCCTTACAAGACTTGTCTGAAGGGTACCAGTTGAACAATAAATGGAAGTACTGTATTCGGAAAGTATTCAGATCCCTTGACTTTTTCCACATTTTGTTACGTTACAGCCTTATTTTAAAATTGAATAAGTTGTTTTTTCCCCTCATCAATCTACACACAATAATCCATAATGACAAAGCAAAAACTGTTTTTTAGAATTTTTTACAAATGTATAAAAATTAAAAAAACGGAAATATCACATTTGCATAAGTATTCAGACCCTTTACTCAGTACATTATTGAAGCAACTTTGGCAGCGATTACAGCCTAGAATCTTCTTGGGTATGATGCTACAAGCTTGGCACACGTGTATTTGGGGAGTTTCTCCCATTCTTCTCTGCAGATCCTTTCAAGCTCTGTCAGGTTGGATGGGGAGCATCGCTGCACAGCTATTTTCAGGTCTCTCCAGAGATGTTCGATCGGGTTCAATTCCCGGCTCTGGCTGGGCACTCAAGGACATTCAGAGACTTGTCCCGAAGCCACTCCTGCATTGTCTTTACTGTGTGCTTAGGGTCGTTGTCCTGATGGAAGGTGAACCTTCGCCCCAGTCAGAGGTCCTGAGCGCTCTGGAGCAGGTTTTCATCAAGGATCTCTCTGTACTTTACTCTGTTCATCTTTCCCTCGATCCTGACTAGTCTCCCAGTCCTTGCCGCTGAAAAACATCCCCACATCATGATGTTGCCACCACCATGCTTCACCGTAGGGATGTTGCCAGGTTTCCTCCAGATGTGACTCTGGCATTCAGGCCAAAGAGTTCAATATTGGTTTCATCAGACCAGAGAATCTTGTTTCCCCCGATTGCTCAGTTTGGCCGGGTTTCCAGCTCTAGGAAGACTCTTGGTTGTTCCAAACTTCTTCCATTTAAGAATGATGGAGGCCACTGTTTTCTTGGGGACCTTCAATGCTGCAGATATTTATTTATTTTTTGTGCCTCGACACAATCCTGACTCGGCGCTCTACGGTCAATTCCTTCGACCTCATGGCTTGGTTTTTGCTCTGACATGCACTGTCAACTTTGGGACCTTATATAGAAAGGTGTGTGCCTTTCCAAATCGTGTCCAATCAATTGAATTTACCACAGGTGGACTCCAATCAAGTTGTAGAAACATCTCCAGGATGATTAATGGAAACAGGATGCACCTGAGCTCAATTTGGAGTCTCATAGCAAAGGGTCTGAATAAGGTATATCTGTTTAATAATCAATTTTAGAATAAGGCTGAGACGTAACAAAATGTTGAAAAAGTCAAGGGGTCTGAATACTTTCCGAATGCACTCAGCCATCCTCAGGTCTCTACCACTCAGCCATCCTCAGGTCTCTACCACTCAGCCATCCTCAGGTCTCTACCACTCAGCCATCCTCAGGTCTCCACCACTCAGCCATCCTTAGGTCTCTACCACTCAGCCATCCTCAGGTCTCTACCACTCAGCCATCCTCAAGCCTCTACCACTCAGCCATCCTTAGGTCTCTACCACTCAGCCATCCTCAGGTCTCTACCACTCAGCCATCCTGATGTCTCTACCACTCAGCCACACACTGACCCTGACACTCTTCACATACACACATACACACACACTCATGAGCCCATGCTCACACCCTAAATACAGTATGTAGCCCTTGTATCTGATGCTGTCTGGCCAGATAAAGTATGACATGCCATACTCCTTTTGTCCAGACAGCATCAGATACATGGTCTACACATACGGAGACAGAGGGGCGCTGTTTCGCTCGATTGGATGCTTTATCTGAGATTGATGCGTCTTTCTGTTGGTGTGCGTCTTGGTCAAGTAAATAATAAATATTTCAATATTTTATTTGGATGGGCAAGGAGGCATGGATATTTAGAAAGCGTTTACATCCCAAATGGCACCCTATTCCCTATATAGGGCACTACCTTTGACCAGGGCCCATAGAGTGACACTATACAGCTGCTTCTAAATATGTGTGGAGAAACACCTCCTCCTGCTGGAGAACTGAGGAAGTGCACCTAAACCATCTAAACTAGCCACTTATAACAGTATCATTACCATCTGTTTGATATCAAATGGTTCATAGCAAAGTGTTGTTGAAGTGGTTGAAGACAGGTGCAGGTGTATAGAGCTGTAGTCAGTATTATATGAGAGGATCAGAGAGGGTTTTTGTAGAGGAGAGAGGGTATAGTGAAACACTGTGCTGAACTAGCAGCACAGAAATACACTGCACTGTCTTCAGCTTCTCTCAGTTTAGGAATATGTAGATACGCCATTTTGTCAGTTGCACCATCTCCACTCACATTAAACCGCTCTTTAAAGGAATCTTCCACCGTTGGACTGGTGAATGTCACATACCCAATGAGTTTCAGAGCAGTGTTTTGGGCTGACTGTTGGTACCACAGTATCATGTAGTAGTTTGGAACATTGTGGCTGCAGCTGAGCTGAACTTTATCTTCAGGTCTTTTTAGTATTTCAGTAGGAGTCTGGTAAACTTTGTCTGTTTGTGACAGCCCTGTGGATGAAAACAGACAATATGAAATATACAGTAGCAATATACTTCAGTAGTAAATATATCTTTCATGAGGGACTAAATACCTGTCACCCATAGTAGTAGAGTTGCTACTTGTATGAGGAGCGTGATCATGTTGATGGTTCTGGAGAGAAGTGTCACATGGACAAGGAGAAAGGGTTTTCAGATAGTCAGAGATGTGTTGTCAGCTAGTGGGAGTGTCAAATGTATACTGCATCCCAAATGGCACCCTATTCCCTTTATAGTGCACTACTTTAGACCAGAGTCCATAGGGGTGAGAGGAAATAAGTCAATAGAAACGGTGAGCTGAACTGAGCTGCCGGAGGGGAAGGAAATGGCATCACTTTGACGTCAGAACTACATCATTGAAAGTATTTGTCTTTATTAGTCTTTAGATTTGATCTGTTATAGATTCTGCAGTAATCACACTAGAAATAGGTAATGTAATTTGAAGAAATACCCAAACCGTTTCTTCAAAGCAACAACATCAACCACATTATTTGGTATAGAGGTTTGATAGCATCTTCCTCCATGTGCTCAGACATCTACAGCGGTGGATAGCAGGTCTGCTGGGTGTTGATGTACACTGCAGTTATGGAGTAACGGATCAGAAGGGGTTTTTGTAGAAGAGAGAAGGGTATCTACATCACTGTGTTGACTTCAGGTCAGAACAGTAATACACTGCACTGTCTTCAGGTCAGAACAGTAATACACTGCACTGTCTTCAGGTCAGAACAGTAATACACTGCACTGTCTTCAGGTCAGAACAGTAACACACTGCACTGTCTTCAGGTCAGAACAGTAATACACTGCACTGTCTTCAGGTCAGAACAGTAATACACTGCACTGTCTTCAGGTCAGAACAGTAATACACTGCACTGTCTTCAGGTCAGAACAGTAATACACTGCACTGTCTTCAGGTCAGAACAGTAATACACTGCACTGTCTTCAGGTCAGAACAGTAACACACTGCACTGTCTTCAGGTCAGAACAGTAACACACTGCACTGTCTTCAGGTCAGAACAGTAACACACTGCACTGTCTTCAGGTCAGAACAGTAATACACTGCACTGTCTTCAGGTCAGAACAGTAATACACTGCACTGTCTTCAGGTCAGAACAGTAACACACTGCACTGTCTTCAGAACAGTAATACACTGCACTGTCTTCAGAACAGTAATACACTGCACTGTCTTCAGGTCAGAACAGAAGCTGAATAGATGCTTCTTTAATTCCATCTCCAAGGATTTCAAAGTGCTCTTTAAATGAACCTTCAACTGTCTGACTTTTATAATACACATATCCAATCAGTTTGAGACTAGTATCAGCTATTGACTGGTACCATAATATAGTGTATACTAATATACTGGTATACGTGGTCCTCTGTAGCTCAGCTGGTAGAGCACGGCGCTTGTAACGCCAAGGTAGTGGGTTCGATCCCCGGGACCACCCATACACAAAAATGTATGCACGCATGACTGTAAGTCGCTTTGGATAAAAGCGTCTGCTAAATGGCATATAAATATACTAATTGTAATTATTTTGCACTATAGCTTATTTATTGCCTTACCTCCATAACTTGCTACATTTGCACACACTATATATATATTTATTTCTGTTGTATTTTTGACTTTGTTTTGTTTTACCCCATATGTAACTCTGTGTTGTTGTTTTTATCGCACTGCTTTGCTTTATCTTGGCCAGGTCGAAGTTGTAAATGAGAACTTGTTCTCAACTGGTTTACCTGGTTAAATAAAGGTGAAAAAAAAAAAAAAAAAAAAAGTATTGTAGAAACTTGTACTATGGCTGCATTTGAATATCACTGTAACATTGGGACTTCCCAATAGTGCTGAGAGAACCTGGTGGACTTTACGTGATGAAAGCTCTGGTCATTTTGAGTCTACTGGACAGATGGATATAGAGAAATAGAAAGAGAGAGAGTGACAGAGAGAGAGGGGGGGGGCAAGGGGAGAGAGAGGAGGGGGGGGGCAGGGGAGAGAGATGGGGGGGGGCACAAGGGGATAGTTTTTTTGGGGGGGGGGGGAAGATTGGGGTTTAAAGGGGAAAAGGGCGGGGGCTTTGGGTGGTTTTTTCCCCGGGGTTTTTTTTTTCAAAAATGTGTACAAGGGGGGGGGGGGGGTTTGTTTTGGGGGGGGTCAAAATTTTTGGGGAATTGGGGGTTTCAGTTTTTCTTTTTTTTTTTTTTCTTTTCCCTATTTGCGCCCCCGCCTTCCCCGGGGGGGGCCCCTTTTTTTTCCCCCTTCTTTTCCCCAAATCAACCTGCGGGGGAGGAAAAGGGAAATTTGACTTGTAACATTTGTGTAGATGCGTCAATGCTGGAATTTATTGCTGTCAAAAAAAGAGTCCGCTTAGGCTGTACTTTGATTAAAGTTTTATTTTTCACAAATGTCCAAAAAATTTCAGACCCTGCCGGCGGGAGAACAGGTCCAAAAATAATGTTGTTTCAAAACAACTTCTTTTTTTTTCCTTTTCCCCCGTATATATATTTTCCCAAAATAGGGGTGGCTCCCTCTACTGTCCAATCCCCTGTCTACAACACACACTTCCTGTCTGTTTGTATGTGGCGTCCCTCTAAAACATTCCCTCTGACACTAAATAAACATCCTTTCAGGTTCCACTTAAAAACCATTAACAAAGTCATAATCTTAATACATACTACAATTGCATAATTGATGTTAATGAGTGTTGACACTAAACTGTAATACCAGTGGTACTGTACTAGGACTGATATCACCTTGCTTATGTCATAATCCATCTGTGGTTATTCATTGGCACTGAATCAAAGTCACACCTCAGATGCAGGTGTTCTGAACAGTGTGCTAATACTACTATCAGATAGGGTTATGTAGAAGGAGAGAAGGTACTCTACTCACTGTGTTGGGTGGCGCACGAAAACTTACCCCCCTTGCCGGGAAAAAAATTTTTTCCCCCCCTTTTTTCTCATTCTCCTTTTAATTTTTTTTTTTTAATGGTTTTAAGGGTTTTTGATTTTTTAAAAAAAATAAACCAATTTAGTTTTTGCAATGCCCCCTTAGTTTTACCTTCCATTTTTAAAAGGCAGGCTTTATATTTAAATTTTTTTAAAAACCTTTATTTAAAAGGGTCTTTAAAAAGTTAAATTTAAAAGTGGAGAAAAGAGAAGAAATTTTCCCCTTTTTTTTTCTAGGGAAAAGGGGGGGGGGAAAACCCCCCCCCCCCTTTCCCCCCCCCCCTTTTTTTCCCTTTCTTCCCCCTTCCCCCCCTCCGGTTTTTTTTTTTCCTTTTTTTGCTTCCCTCCTTAAAATTTTCCTTCCCCCCCGGGGTTCCCCCCCCCCCAAAAAAAAAAAAGAAAAAAATTTTTTTGCCCGGGCTTTGCCCCTCTGGGGTTTTTGCTCCGTAAGTCTGGGTTTCCCCCCTTTTTTTTCCCCTTTTCCTTTGGGGTGGGTTGGGGTTTTGGGGGGCGGGCCCCCCCAAAATTCCCCCCCCCCCCGGCCCCCCCCCCCCCCCCCCCCCCCCCCCCCCTAAAAAATCAGCAAAAAAAAAAGGGGGCCCCCCCGTAAAACCTCCTTTTTTAAAATTTTTCCCCCGAAAGGGGGGGCAGCGTGGGTTTCTGATACGAAACCCCAAAAAAAGACCCCCCCCTTTTCCCCCTCCCCCCCCTTCCCCCCCCCCCCCCGCTGGCCCAACAAATTTTTTCAAAGGGCCCCCGGGGGAAAAAAAAAAAGTGAAACCCCTTCTTTTCCCCCTTCCCCCCCCCTTTTCCCCCCCCCCCCCCCCCCCCCCCCCCCTTTTTTTCCCCTTTGGGGGGTTCATTTGCCAACCCCCCCCCCCCCTATTTCCCCCCCCCCCCCCCCCCCCCCCCTGTTGTCTTTCGGGACGCCGCCCTCGGGGGGAAAACCCCCGCTTTCCCCCCTTTAAACCCCCTCTTTTGTTTTTTTTTTCTTTCCCCCAAAAAATTAACCCTTTCCCCCGTCCCCACCCCCCCCCCTAACGTTTTTCCCCCCCTTTTTTTCCGTTTTGGTTTTTTCTGTCCCGGTTTAAAAAAGGTTTTGTTGAAAATAGAAGGATTTCCCCTTTGAATGTCGTAATTTTTAGGCCTTAAAAGAAAAAAAAAAGTGGTTAAGGGGAAACGTTTTAAAAAAAAAGGGGAAAAAATTTTTAAAAATCCCTTAAACCCATAGTGGTAAGCTCCCAAAGGTGAATCAAACCTGAACATGATGATGGGGGAAAATTATGTGATGAAATCTGGGGAAACATGATAAAAGGGGGCCTCATTGGGGGATGTATAGTGTCTCCGGGATGAACTCTGATTTTAAAAAGGAAAGGGGGGGCCTGATTTTTAGTATCCTTTTTCCCTTTTTGGGTGGGATGTGAGATTTTTAAGGGAGTGTCGGGAAAGCCTGAAACTGAAAAGCTTCCCTCATGGGGCCCCTCACTGTGCCCATAAAACTGATTACATGATCAGGGACAAAAAACCATCAACATTAAAAAAAACCTGATTTAAGGGGTCCCCCTACAGAAACGGTTTAAGCCCCATCTCTTTACATATTATTTTCCCCATCCATTGAAACTCGGGGTTTTTTGGGGTCAGCGTGCTTGTCTCTGTATCCTGTTTCCCCTCACAGCACAAAAGTAAAATTCCCGCGGGCCCTCCCTGCCCCCAAAACCTTTTTCCCCACTAAAAAAGGACCCCACCCCCCAGCTGTAGCCCTTAACAGGGGATTTTTTGTTTTCACCGAAGGCCCATAGTCGGGGGTTTGCTAAAACCCTACTTGTGTAAACTCCTGCTTCACCCCTCCTGGAGGGCGGCCCTGAAACCAGTCCTTTTGGTTGTAGGTATCTCCCTTAGTGTACAGCATTCATCTGATCCTCACGTCTTTCAGCCCCCAGATTTTGGTGGGTGTCTGAGGACTTAAATCCCCCTCAAAAAACCTTTTAAAAGGATACAGTGGAATAAAATAATAATTTAGATCAGTTAGACCAAATAAAAATCAAACTCAGTAAAGTAAAACGTATTTTTTGGAAACATAAAATCTAAACCTAAAAAGGGGGCCCGTCTTATAAAAAAGAATTTTTTCAAATTTTCCCTTGGTTAAATAAATAAAACCTTATGAAACTGTACCTGAGCACGACCCTAAGAAAAGTAACATTTGAAAAAATGTAAACATGTTTGATCACGTTTTTGGTGAGAGTGTTTAAAGAGTCGGGTTATAAATGTCCCGAATAAAAGGAGTGTCAAAATAGATAAATAGATGAAAATTTAAAACCCCACGGCGGGTTTTTTCCCCAAATTTTGGGAACTGTCAGTAAAGGGGGAAAAACGGGATGATCTGAATACTCATCAAATGGGGGGTTTTCAGACTGTAAGCCCGTTCCCATTATTAAAAAAAGGGCCCCCCTACAGGCATGTTTAGCCCTCAGTTTCTTTAATATTTATTCTTTTCCTATGAGTTTGGGCCATTTGGGTAAGTCGGGGGCCCAAAATTTTTGAGAATTACCCAGATTAACATTTTCAAAAAGTCTCCCTGCCTAGTTTTTTTTTAAGGGAAAATTGCATATCCCAAAATGTTATGAAAGGACCCAGTTTAAATTTGGGCAATTAATTGCAAAGTCCCTTTTTCCCATAAAAAATGAACAAAACCCCCAAAAAAAACCTTTCCCCCTTTGCATTTCAGCCTTCCAAAAAAAGGCCCAAAGTTTGCCATCTTTTCATTTATTCTCCCCTTAAACCCGGTAAAGATTTGGTCAGTGGGGAGATCACTCTGCCCATCCCTGATTGATTTTAGTTTAAAACAGATTTGGAAGTTTTAAAAAAGGGGGGTGGTTTTTTTTAAAATAAATTTTTTTTCCCCTCTTTTTTAACCCCATGGTTCCCTTAAAGAAAAAACGTCCCGCCCCCATTACTTTGCAAAAAAAGGGCTTCACAACAAGGATTTTTCTGCTAGTAAGATTGAAAAACCTAAATCAACCATTTTATCGGATAAATCAAAAAATTTAAAGGAAGAGGTTTTTTTTGTAAAAAAAGGGGCATCAGGGCCCCCCCAAAAAGCCCGGGCAAGCCCCCAGGCCGGGTCCCCTAAAGTTGATTCAGCTGCGGGGATCTTTGGCACCCACCAGTGCGGGCCTTTGCTCATAAATTTGGCAGCGGGGCAGGTGTGAGTGCATCTGAATGCACATTGGGGGCAAAGATTTTTGGGAGGAGGGCCTGGTGTTAAAAGGGGGCAACGAGGAAGCCACTTCTCCCCCCGGGAAAAACATAAAAGGGACAACTGATTTTTTGAAAAAGGTAAAAAGGTTTGGG